ATTTTCTCATACTTTTTTTTTTTAATAATTACATACTGCACTGGATTGTTAAAATCCCCTTCCACAGCAGACATGTGCAATATGTTTCGGGACTGTTTTTTCAGTAATGTCCCAATAACAAAAAAATGACTAAGCACATTCCAGCAAATTGCAATGTTTGTAAGTTATAAAATGATCCTATAATCCTTTTAAAGTCCACATCAGCTTGCTGTACCCAGAAGGAGTTAATCTACCCACAGTACATTACAGTCCATAATAATTGGAAGTGATTGGGCAAAGTGCTGAAACCAGGAGGAAATTTGTTGCATTATTCTCTATAAACGACAAGCCACGCTCATTAATTGAAAAATGAATGTCAACTGGCATTAACTGGCATCCGTAAACTGAAATGGAAAAATGACCATGGCACACGCTGTGCTGTAAACAATATATCAGTGAAGCTGCAACAGGTAAAAAAAAATCTCATTCAAAACCAGTCCTAGACTGTTACTGGCAAGCTCCCAAGTCTAGGGCTTTTAATGAGGCTTCTGCATCAAAATAAGTGAAACCACATGGAATTTTAATTGTTCTTATTTTAAATACAAAACACACAAGAGCAGCATGGTCTTCGGTAAAGAAAGTATATACTAGCCTACTGCTTTAGTGTGGAGATTGACATTTTAAATGACTACGTTTCTGTTCCAAATTTATATTTCATGGATGATTTGCATGCCAAACTACATTTATGCAGAATTTAGCTAGTAAATTTAAAAACTGTTCACCTAAACTTTTTGAGATGTAAATGCTTTGCATAAAGAGCTAAACTTTGATTTGATTTTTCTTTTATGTGGTTAACTAGAAGATTTACCTGGTGTTGCTCCTCTGGTCCTTAACTCAAGTTTTGTTTTTCTTCATTTAAATCATTACTCTGGGGTGGGGCAAGGGATGAAGGGTTCAGTATGCAGACTGCCCAGGAGAGAGGACCACCCCAGCCTTCACTCCTTGCAGCAGCTGGGGCCCAGGTAAGAAGCATCCATGGCCGCTGCAGCAGGCACAGCCGGGGGAGGATTTATGTTCCTCGGCTCGGGGATAGACAGGCATACAGACAAACAGACACACACACAAACTCTGAAATAAACAGTAGATAGCTATCTCTTTCTCCACCATGCCCCCCCTGCTGGCCTAGTGGATCCCCATCTTTGCCCCCTGTGGTCTTTCTGCAGAGTAACTATCCCTCGTATCAGACCCCTCCTTTTCCATTTTATGAGAAACAATCCAGTTCCAGGCACATCCCATTGTCCTGTCACAACCAAACCCTGACCTTGCTTTAAGTTATAAGAGGAAGCTGTATACCAAATGTGGTGGTCCTAGCTGTTACCATTTAGGAGGAGATCTTCAATGGACAGACGAATACACAGGCAGACAGATGTACAAACTCTCTCAAATATATAGTAGATTAAGCTCCCTAAAATGGTCATATCATAGAAGGCAGAAATTGTATTAGAGATGTAGATTTACATTTCATGTCCTTGCAACAGCAGTGGAGGTGATGCAGTTTTCACTAAATAAGAGTAGCTTAGGTAAAGCTTTCAGTCCTTTAATAGGCTATAGGTTGCATATGGCACTAATGTGAAAGTGACACTTTGTGAGACTGGGAGGCCTCACATTCAAACTATTTTTACCACTGTTAAATCAGAAAAATCAGTGTAAATTTTTAATTGTGGAATGAGACCAGGTGAGGGGGTTGTGGGAGGGTGGAGGTATTTCAAGACACATACTTTACTGTGCTTTCAAATTATTATCTCTCATTCATCATCATTACTTATGTGCATGCCATTTCATAGCACAAATGCAAATAAAGGGATTCCATGCCCACAAAAGCTTACTGTCTAAGGTCCCAGTCCTGCAAACAGTTATGTACTTGCTTAAACTTACACACAGAAAGTGGTTGCAAAAAATAAATAAATACTTAAAACTGTACAAATTTCATATCTACCTTTGAATTTAACTTGCACCAATGTAAATTAGGAGCAGCTCCATTCAAGACAGTAGAGTTACACTAATGTGAGAGCATCATAAACACTAACAGATTCTGACTCAGTATCTCAAGCAGTTGGAGAAACTGTACAATAATCGTACATTTCCTGATATGTATCAGACCTCTTCACAGTATAAAGGGAGCAACATGATAGTTTTCCAAAATAATAGCTTTGTTTCTGGGTGGTATAGCTTTAGGCTGTTGTGTGTAGTTAGAAACTAAAGAATTTGAAGTAGACAAACAGTGTTTGCTCTAAAGGTACAGTAGAAGCTTTGACTTGCAAACATCTTAGGAATGGAGGTTGTTCATAACTCTGAATGTAAGTAACTTTGACCAAAACGCTAGGGTTGTTTTAAAAAATTCACAACTGAACATTGACTGAATACAACTTTGAAACTTTAATATGTAAAAGAAAAAATTTTGCTTTTAACTAACTTAATTTAAATGAAACAAGCATAGGAACAGTTTCCTTATCTGGTCCATTTTTTTAAACTTTCCCTTTTTTTAGTAGATTATGTTTAACATGGTGCTTGCCTTTGCTTTATTGTTGTTGTGGTCTCTGCTGATTGTGTACACTTGAACCTCTTTAATCCAGCAACCCTGGGAAATGGGATATGCTGGATTAAGGAATTTTTGTGGCCCATGGAGGGTGCTGGGACAGGATCTGGGAGAGACGGAAAGCGGGATGGTCTACGAGGGGGATGGGGATGGGGATGGGGATGGGGCATTTACCTGGCACCCTGCTCTCAGGGACACACATGGCTCCGTGTCCCATGCCAGTCCCAGGAACCACCTCCTGCCACTACAGAAGTTGTGGGGGAGGGAAAGAACTCTTGTGTAAAACAGTTCTTGCACAAAAAGCCTGTAGTGTAGACATAGCCCTGGAGTATGGAGGTTGAAGTGTACTTCTGATTTGAAATGAAGTGCATGGTGACCAGGCAGATCAGAACTCTAAGGTTCTGTTGTACAAGCTATATACGTATGTGTGTGTATGGGGGGGGGAGGGGTTAGTAGACAGGCAATGGATAGGAAGTCATTCACCTCTAGGTCACTGATTAAACTCCTGATCAGGTGGTAGTAATCAAACAATGATCACACCTAGAAACGGCCCCACACTAGAACTTTTAATCCAGCTTTTCTCCCTCACTCTCAGTCAGACCTTGTGATTTAACCCTATGGCTAATCCAGTTCTGAACATTGCTGTTTGGTACATTTCTAATCACCACTCGGCAGCATTTGACTGGTTTATGTCAAATGAGCTAGTCGTCTTGGTGCAGTTTCTCATAGTGAGGTGTTGAAATCATAAAAACCACCAAGCCAGCGGATGGCAGTTTTAACAGAATGTTTGCAGGGCAGGTTCGAGGTGCATTGTTGTCATGGTGTAGGAAAGCACTGCTGCTTTCTCATGGGCAGCATATGCCGTGGATAAGCAGGTATTCAGTGTTCAGTGCAGACATCTGGCACGTGATAGGAGCCCTAAATTCCCTCTATAATACCATAGATTTAGTGGCATTGGGAGAGGAGATGGGTTAACCTCATGGGTCATGAAGTTTTGCAAAGCTGCTAAGTTCGCAAACAAAGGAGCATAGGACCAAACCAGTTTTAGCTCATGAACACTTTCCCTGCAATTTAAACCAGTGTTCCCTCTGTGCGTGTGTGTGTGTGTGTGCATGCACACACACACACAACCTCTAAAGGTATTCTGGCAAAATTAAGTGCCCTAGACTGTGCTGTAGTTTTTCATTAGATTTTTTTCTCTGTCCTCCCCCCCATTTTCATTCTGCCAGCTCTCTGACTTCCACTATTCCTAATTCTGCTCCTTCTCCTCCAGTTTCCTAAGCAGACCACCCAACCTATTTTAACCTCCGAGTTCCAAGGGTACTTTCAAACCCCGGATGTTTGGAGTGGATTGGAAAT